CACCAAGACAAGCATAATCCCTAAGAGCTTCCCAAGGCTCACAACCTGTCAGGGGAGTTTATGGAGAATTAGAAGACATAGAAGGGGCAATAAACCCATTTGAAGGGGAATCAGGGAACAGGTTGGTTTTTTTTGGGGGGTCAAGCCAGGGATTGAACTCAGGCCCGTTCACTTGCTAGGGAAGTTCTTATTCTATTGAGCCATCTCCCCAGCCCAGGGAACAGGTTCTTCAGAGGAGAGCTTTAAAGTAGAGAAGAATGGGGAGATTAACTGAGTGAAAGCAAGGGAGTGGAAGGAAGATGTCTCCTCTTCCAGGCAAGTGAAAAGAACCAACCTCTTAAGGACCTAGCGGGGCTCTGATCCTCCACCTGACCTCCTCTGGGCTGGTGTCACCCCTTCCCTAGTCTCTTCTGAAACAGGAACATAATATCTCTCCCCCAGAGTTGTGAATGATAAGAATAAAAGGTGCTAGGTAGGTAGTAGTACATGCTCAGTGAATGTTACCTTACCTTGTGTTTTCTCCCGCAAAAGGGAGAATACTACAGTGTGACAATTGCTTTTGTATATAATTTAATTTGACCCTTCCAACCCTGAAAAGTATCTTAAGTCCCACACACTTTGACTCTGCTGTGTGGAAACAAGTACATAGAGGGAATCTGCCCTTCAGAAGTTTGCTGGGAGAATCAAAGGGGGTGGGTGTTTGTAGAGCACTCCACGGATCCTAAAGGGCTGTTCCCCTGACAGAAGGATGACCATAGAGCCGCTGTTTGTTCGCAGAATTTCAGAGACAGGGAGCTCTTTCTATGTGGCACTCATTCCAGGGGAACTCAACTCAGCCCCTTGCTTCTCTCTGCACTCTGACCTCAGCTTCGCAGCTCATTCTGACCTCTGGAAGTCAGATCCTGCCCATTGTCAGCCTTGAAATAAGCATTTCAGTGCTTATTTTGGGTCATCCTGGGCAGTCAATTTCCTACCTCAGCAACAGTATAAAGGAGCTCCTCGGTAGACAAGGAGGTCAACTAATTTTATTTTCCAAGTAGAGGGGTTGGGCTGTGAGCTTTAACCTCTGCATGCCTTGCCACTGTGCTACACTTGCCAGGGGGAAGTGTGTCCTTGAGGAGCAGGCAGGGACCCAAATAGGAAAGTGGGACAGGCCATCTGCACATGCAGCCTCCAGCCTAGGTCATAGCCATGCTCTGAGCCAAGATGCAAGAGAGAGGTCTCATCAGCTTAGAGAGGGACTTCTGCCGCTAAGATGTGGCAGGGCAGCTGGAGACTTCCTGTGGGGAGGAGGGGAGTCTCCTCCTGGGAAGGGTATCCCTATTCACTCATTCTCATGCTGTCTACAACTCTAGACCCTTTGCACTGTGGACAGGCAGAGTAGAGGACCTGAGACTCAGTTTCCACCTTGGGAATTTCCAGTCTGGGGACTGAGGGTCACCCAGAGCCAACACTGAAGGAAGGGGATTCACAGATGGACCTGCATACAACACACTCCCTGAGGGCCTCAAGTCAGTGCTCATGATGCAGACTGAGACCCAGCTCGTGGAAGTTGGCTTATCATATCACCCCCATCTCTCACAGGCACTCACATATATAAACCTCAGGTGTTTGGACACCATGCAGCCCACAGCCTGCTCCCCAAGCCCTGCCCCCAGGTACCTGGCACTTACCTGGCCACGCCCCCTCCCTGGGGCTCCAGTGTGCTCTGCTCCTGCAGGCACTCAGGGACTGCTTCCCTCTGGTCTGAGCCTGCTGCCTGCGTCGGCCAGCCCAGCTCTAACAATGTTCCTGCTGCTCTGCCCAGACTCAGCTAGGGCTCAACAGAGGGAGGACAAAGGGGCTGGACGCCAGCCGGAGGGGAGCAGAGGGGAGGGGGAGGGGTGGACGCTGGGCTTTTGTTCCACCCTTGGACCAGTCCCTGGAGGGAGGGGGCGGTAGTAAGTGTGGGATTGACTGTGTGTGCAACTCTGCCGTCTGGTGTGCTTCGATCCTGGTGCAAGCCTTGTTCCTGAATGAAACACAGGGGTGGGGGCCAGGGGGGCTGTGTCAGCCTGAGGTAGATGGGGTTTTTGTCAGCTTACCTGGCCCTGGATACTTACTTGTGAGTGTGAGAGGGCATGGGATGCAGTGACTGTAGCCCCGCAGTGGTGTGGACATGTAGATGTGTGACCACGTAGCTACAGATACGACCAAAAAGGTGACTGCCTGCCAGTTTGGATTGAGGTTTCCCTCCTTCCCTTGTGTCTGTGCTGTCAGTGTTCCTGCTTGACAGCAGACATGTCACTCTGAGACTGTATGACGCTGTCCCTTTGTGCCTCTAGGTGATTACTCATTTTTGTGTCAGGGTTTCATGTCTCCGTGGCTTGTGTATCACAGGGTGTATATATCCACGGGATGTACATGCCTGTGTATGTGACAGGTGTCTCCACATACACGCATGAAGTGTGTGGTCGTGGGTCTGAGGTGTGTGCATGGAGGGGGGAGCGTCCCTCAGGAGGGTCATACTGGCACAGGCTGTGGGCAGAATGATTTGGGTGGAGGAATGAGGCCACTCTGCACTGGCTGGGCTTCCTGGAGCCAGAGAAAGGGGATTCTGTGGTCGGTCTGGTGTCCGTGAATGGGTGAGAGATTTGAACTTGTGGAAGGGAGCAGCACTGTGGGGAGGAGGTGGTTTTGCCAAGAACCTGGATGGTCTGGCTCTTCATCTAGTCATCTTGGAAGAAAGGGTAATGAAGATCCTGGTCGTCCTATCCTTTGGGCTGCTCAGATATTCAGAAGCGGATAGGTGCAAGCCTCAAGCCACAAGGAGCCACCCCTCCTGGAGGCCAGGTGTGGTAGGAACCTCAGGCCAGCCCAGAGGCTGTGGGAGCTGAGAGGAGGACTCACTGTGATCTTGGCTAGCCCTGTGTCCTGGGGGCTGGCCAGTCTGTCCCATGAGCCCTGTTCCAGGAAATGGACTTTTATACCTAGAAAGTTTTCTGTATGGCTTGCTTGTTAAGGGATGTGAGCAATTTGGGCACCTTCTTGTCTGTTCATGGGTGGGGGCACTGCAGAGTCACAGATGGACCTGGTGAACACAGGTGGGCTCAGCCCCGAGAAGGCTCACCCTCTGAGGATAGATCGAAGCATCTCCTGGGGCAGAGGATTCTCTGTGAGGACAGTGCACCATACTCTGCAGAGAGAGGAGACTTGGAGGATGGCAGGAAGGTGTGGTTTTAGTAACCCCTCAGGTCGTGGGAGGAGTTTGGGTGGATCATGGACTGCAGGTCAACTGAGGATGGGATAGGCTTGCCAAGGTGGCCAGGAGCCTTGGGTACGCTGGCCAGTGGGCCCAGCAGAGCTGATTATACTGCAAGGGACTGGGGTGAAAGGCCTGCCCTCTTTCTTGGATGGACTGTCAGAGGCTGGAACGGAGGTCATTGGGCACTCCAGAAAGGCCAACGCTTGCTCTAGCCTGAGCAGTTCTGGGTTTCACTCATGCCTGGGTTCAGGACAGGCGGGAGCTGACCTCTGCCCCTCAAAGGGAAGTGCTTGTGAGATGTGCAGTGGCAAGGGAAGGTGTAAAAGCCCACAGCCCCACAGGGCTGTCCTCGAGGTTAATGAGGCAGGCCTGCAGAGGGGGCCGGCATTTGGAAGAGGGGATTTTCCTTTCTCTTCAGAAGGGGGCAGAATCTCACTCCAACAATTTTGTCGACTCTGGGTTGGAGAAGAGACAAAATCCTTTGCTACCTGAGAGTGTGGTATGTATCCAGCCTCCTGCTTTTCCCTTAGGACACACCCAAGACATGCAGACTCCTAGGACAAAGTCAGTCCCTCTCCACTAGAAGAGGCATGTCTGGGTTGTGGGCTTGTCTCTCCATAGACAGAGGACCTCAGCGTGCCTCTGTGGCTGTAAGGACCTGAAGGTCCCACAGCAGCCTCAGAGCCCTCCTTCCACTTTTTTTTTTTAATGTATTTAGTACAGGGCCTACAGGGTCTCACTGCATAGATGGGGCTCGTAGTGATTCTCCTGTTTTCAGCCTCCCAAATGCTGGGATTACAGCGCCACCACACCCGTCTCAATCGCCGTCTCAGTGCGCCGGCACCCACTGTGCTCTTCCTAGCTGGTAATGGAAGCTCCGCAGAGGCTGGAGTCACAATCTGGGTGGGATCCTGGCTTTACCTTTTCAATGCTGTGGGGCCTTGAACAGTCAGTCACTTTACCCCTCCCAGGAGTGTCCTCCCTGCCCTAGACCTCCTGGCTGACACAGGGTAGGGGCTCCGCAATCCTGCTGTCACGTTCCTTTCTGAGTGTGGTTCCTTTTCTAGTCATGAGGCCAGAACTAACCTCAGACCCAACATACTCTGTTCCCGTCCTCTGCCGACAAGTCAAACACCACACATCAAGATGGCAGCTTTAATCGTCCTGGTTGAGGTCCTCAGGCTCCCTCTGTTGCAGGCCAGCTGAGCCACAGGCCCACGCTTGACGTGTTGCCAAGTGGCCCCTGCCCTATGGCTGCTGATGTGGGACTCTGAGGTCTGTCAGTCTGTGGATCTCCTGGGCCCCAGGGCCACTCCTGCCCAGAGGCTTGCTGGACATTTGCATGTGTGGCAGAGCACACCTGAGCCTGCATCTTGGGCCATCTTCGGCTGCCCTTAGGGGATATGGCTCCAGTCCTCTGCTAGGGCAGGGGTCAGGGGTGGGGGGAGGCTGGTCACCTCAGAAATGTTTCCATCATGGCCACTGGCCTTCCTCCTGGCTGAGCCTCCTTGTGCTTTGAGACTGATGTGGGGAGCAGAGCTGCCAGGGGCGGGGGAGGCCCAGCCCGGTCTTCGAAAGAGGGTAAAACAGAGAAGTTTGCCTCATGGCACGGAGAGGTGGGCAGACACACAGGGGCAAGGGTGCACATCTGCATCTTCCACTGCCAGGGGGGACATGGCATGATCCAGTGACCCAGTAGAGCTTCCCAGTAGAAATATGACGGAGGGCAGGGCCGTAAGAACGGAACCTCAGGGCCAGGCTCTGCTCTTCCCAGGAGCCCCAGGCCTGCAGGGGCCTCTGGGAGTCTGGCCCAACTAGCCTCAGGGGAGAGGTGACACCCCACCCCAGGAGGCCATGGCTAACAAGGAAGGGCCTGGAGCCAGCTCCCAGAGCACTCCCTCCAAGCGCACATGCTCTGCCAGCCTCCCGGGCACCCCGTACTTCTACATTAGGTAAGGCTGGGGACAGACAGGTCTTCGGCTAACGTCCACCTTGGTCTGTGAGAGTCTTGGCTTGGCTGCTGCCTCCTCGGGGGCCCCTGGGGGGGGCAGTGCTGTTGGCATATGTGTCGTAACTGCTGTCTGAGCACATGGAGAACTCATCCGAGACCTCCACACCATCACTGATCTCTGCGGGCCAAAGGGAAACAAATGTGAGTTGGGCAGAATAGGGCCGTGGGGAGGGCTGACAGGCGGGTGGGCAGTCTCCTGCAGGCAGGGCTGGCTGGCGTGGGTCCTGGCATTCTACGCTCTCCTTGGTCTCTCTGAACCCTCTGCCTGGCCCATTGTCTCGTCCCTGGCATCTCTACCTTCCAGCCACAGAAAGCCACCGACATGCCTTGAGCGTGGCTCCCAGAGTTCGCTCTCTAGGGCTTTTACACACTGCCCCTCCCCCGGGAGTGAGCGCCTCGACACCTTGTCCTGAAATCTGGTCTCATCTTCTCATCTGTTAACAGCAGTCCCTAGAAGCTTCCTGAGTCCCCAGCCTAGACTGGGCCTAGATTGGGCCTCCCCAGGGCCACATCCCTCAGGGAAAACCCTTCCCCTTGGTCCCAACTGTGTGGGTGCTGTCCCTCTGAATGGGCACCTTCAGGACATCTGTGCTCTGGTGCTGGCAGAGTCGGGCTGCAGCAGGGGCTCAGGAGAGGTCTGTGGAGTGGACCCCGCCGAGGATGCTGTGCGATTGCAGTGCCTGAACAGAGCACAACTGGCCCTCCTTTCCTTTGCCCAGCCCACCCCCCAGCCATTATCCAGGCACCTCTTGCCACCCTGCGTCCTTCCTCACTGCTCGGGGAATCTGTCCATGCCCTCAGCACCCTACTGTGAGAGTGCCAGGGACTCCTGTTCATACCCTGGTCTACGCAGCTCGCTCCTGCATCAGACTGGGAATATCAGCGGGCCTGGCAGTGAGCAGGAGCAGAGTCACTATTTCTGGATCTGTATATGACCAGGCAGAGGGGGATGGGTCTCCAGAAGATTCCCTTCCCAAGCTGCATGTCACCCTGGCCCACCAAGCCTGGCACTGACAGGGCCCACAGGATCTGGGGTTGACTGCATGTGGAAGTGTTTCTATGTGTACCTATGCTTCCCTCTGTGTGGGGGTGAAGCCTGTAGGGCTTCTGCATGGCTGAGCCTGAGTGCAGGGCCTGCCTGTGGGCAGCTCACCTGAGAAAATGAGCTTTTCCTTCATGATACTGACGTCCCGGCTGGTTCGGCGCACTGCGGCGCTCAGCATGATCTGCTCAGGATTGTAGCTCCGTATGCCACCCAGGCGCCACCTGCAGAGATGATCCCGTGGGCATCAGGTCCTTCCCTACCCACTTGTGAAGCAGGAACCCTGGCCACTTCCAGAACCTCTCTGGATATGGCCTGAGAGACCAGCAGGACTTGGGTCCCACTACACAAATGAGGAAACTGAAGCCCCAGAGTGGCAGCGTGGGGGCTGGAACCTGAGCCTGCTGATTCTTAGCTTATGCCTTCCTGTCTCACTCTTACCTCCAAAACCCTAAGTTCACAACAAGAAAGTGGTTTGGTTAGCGCTAGGGCAGGTGCCTCCGGTTTTGCACATGGCTGTCTTTGGATTGCACGAATCTGGAGGAGGCAGGGCTCAGGCTGGACTCAGAGGGCTTGCCCTGGGCTTCACCCAATCTTGGAAGTCCTTGCTGCTGCTCCTGTAGCCTTGCCATCAGGACAGGCTGAATGAGGCCAGAGAGGAACCCCAGTGGGGAAGGGATGCAGGCGAGGGCAGGTGGCAGTGGGGCCATGCTCAGCATTGACCCTCACGAGTCCATGAGGAGAGGGTGTTAGGGTGACTTGGGGGAGGGGTCTGCACCTCTCTCCAGCAACCATAATGCAGAGGGGTGGCTGAAGGAAGCATTAAACCTCCTGTTGTCTGAGAAGGTGGCAGGGAGGGGGATGAAATGGGTCAGAATGGGCCAGGAGATGGCACGCACAACACAGAGTGAGGAGTCGGGTTCCCAGCCTTGGGCACTGTTTCTTCAGCACTGCTGTGTCCCCACTAGCCCCAAATCCCTGGCCTCTGAACCTGGACTTTTCCTAGAATTGCAGCAGAATGTTGGGATTCCCTCCGCCCCTCCCCCGCCAAGGGGAACAAATGGGCACCTTGGACACCCCCACCCCCACTCCACTGAACCCTGCTTGGGTAGGTAGAGGGAACCAAGATTCCACAGGAATCAGCTGTGAGTTTCTAGATGGGGTTGGCATAGCAGAAATGGATAGACAGATGGACAGAGCAGACAGACAAGGAGAAAGCAGGAGGCTGAGGGGAAGCCCCTGTGTCCTGGCTGGGCTGGCTGCCCTACGGATCCTTGAGGGGAGGGATTCTGCCTCCTGGTCATTGCTGGGCCCCAGCACATGCCTCAGTGCCTGCCGTGCTGCATGTGCTGGACACGTATTTGTTGAGTGAATAAATGTAAGAATGAGGCCTACAGGGAAATGACCCGTGTCCCCAGCCCCTCAGGTCTCACTCCAGAGGGCTGCTCCTGATCATCAACTGGTTGTATATCATGAACCCAGCACCAGAGGCTGCACGTGAGATGCCTGCCAACTCTGAATGCAAGGATTGATGACCAAATGGCCCGTCATTAGGCTCATTCCAAACACTGGAGAGCAAGTTCTGCAGTTGGCCAGTGAACCAGTTGGAACCAGGAGGGCTTAAATTAAGGCACCTGACCAATGGGGATCTGGGTCAGGGACCTAAGTCTTACTGGGAAATTAACACTAAAACCCAGCAGGAAGATGCCAGGCCAAGCACATCCGGGACAGGAAGCCATTGTCTTCCCTAAAGGATGGGGAAAAGGATGTGGATGGTTGCAGGGTGGGAGCCAGAGACAAAAATAGAAAGGAAATGGGAGAGACAGAAGGGTAGCATGGATGATGGAAGAGGAAAGAAAGCCCAGAGGGGCAGAACTCAGTGGAAGGAAGGAGAGTGAGAGAGCCAGAAAGGTGGGACGGCCCCCATTGGTGGTGGACGTAGGTAGGGGCTGGGTTGCCCGGCAGGGATCTTCTTCCCGAGGGAGACTCTGGTGCTGAGCGGCCAGCCCAGGGACCTGCCAAGGAGATGCTGGTCCTCCCCCATGGAAACTGCAGTAGGGAGAGGAGAGAACGGCAGCAAAATGGGAAAAGCAGAGGACTGCAGGGAGGAGTACAGGCAAGGGGGCTTGGTGAGGGTGACCCAGCACAGGGCTTGGTGCACAGCAGGATTTCAGACAGAACTGGAGAAGGGGATGGTGCGGCGGGAGAAAGAGGAACAGCAGGAGGAGGACCACACCAGAATTACCTGATCAAGTGATAGCTGTGAGATGCCAGAGTGCAGCAGAGAGGGGGGAAGGGAGAGAGGGACATGCGCCGATCAGAGCGGGATGGGACAGAGAGAGAACGTCAGTCAAGAATCAAACCCAGGTGGGCGCCCTAGGCTGGCCCTGAGCCCTCCCCTGGACCACCCTCCCACCCTACAACTGCATCCCAGCCACTGTTTTGAGGGGTGGGGAGAATTTTTGCCTGGCACAGTGCGAGGGGCCGGCGGGAGCCTCTGCCCTGGCTGATGACAGCAAGCCTGCAGAGGGGCCAGAATTTGCCAGGGTACACATAGCAGGTCAGAGCAGAGCTTGGCTCTGGGCTTCCCTCTGGGCGCTCTTTCCAGAAGCTTCTGGCTGAGGGAGGAGGGCCTAGGGCCCCTGGACTCCTTCCCTCTGTCCTGGCCAGGCCTGCTCCTGACCCAGGCTCAGGGCTCAGAGGAAGGACTGCCCAGCTAAGTGGGGACTACGCCTGCCAAGGGTGGGGAGAACCAGGGAGGTGTCAGGGCTTACTTACTTCTGGAACACGAAGATGCCGACGATGAGGGTGAAGGAGATCAGGTCGGCGGTGACCCACATAAGACAGTACTCTTCTGGGGGCTGTGGGTAGAGGCCGAGGCCAGCTTCCGGTCACAGCCCATCCAGATAGAGGCTCCCTGGGCTGGAGGCCTGTGTGACCATTAAGGAGTGGCAGAGGCGGCTCTGAAGGCTGGAGGCCTAGGATTGTACTTCTCAGGAGTGAGCTCTGGGCACCGTGGGCCAGGGTGGGGCATGTGTGTGCACGCACATGTGTGTATCCACTCAGACTAGGGGCGCTGTTAAGCCTGGGGGTTATGCGCTTAAGGGAACACCAAGCAGGAAGTGAATGATGGAACATGGGTGCTGCATCTGAGTGTGAGGCTGACGTGACTAGCAAGTGGGTGTGTGGACAGCTGCATGTGACACCTATGTGGGACACACAGGTCACTCTGCATGGTGACCCCAGGTGTGATGCCTGTTCACAGGGGACCCAGAGGATGGGGAGGGCAAAACCTCGTGTGCAGACTCAAGCCGCCTCAGTCTCTGGCAGTCTCGCGAGAGTGGGAAGAAGGGGCTCCTCTTGCTGTTGGCCAATGCCCTGTGGCGGAATGCCCTGACCTGCTTGTCACCACTGCCAGCCAGTGTGTTACTTCTTGTCATTCCAGTGGACATTTAGGTGGTTTTTAAGGCATGTCAGGCAGGTGAGGACTCAACAGCAGGGTCTTTAGGACTCTGAAGAGTTAGTGACTGATTCCAGCAGCGAAGCTCCAGGCCCAGGTGCCCACTCCTCTCCTGGTGCCCACTTCTCTCCTTCTGGACTCCTGACTTTGCCCCTCAAGTCCTTGCTACTATCAATCCTGCCCCGGTTCCCTGGACTTACTCTCCCCCCATGAAACCACCCACAATGCGGATCTGACTTGCTGACACTGCTGCCCACAGGAGCTGTCTGTCTGCAGATGCTCAGTCGACCTAAGACATTGTTCTCTGAGCAGATGTTACCATTCCCTATCTTGTCCTGATGTTATCCTTTTTTTCCTTTAAAATCAAAATTAAATATAATAAATGCCCCAAGCCAAAGGGTCCGAGTGGCTGGTTACTTCTCAAGGGTGCCTAAGGGATGTGTTCTTCCCTGTGGGTCAGGCCCAGTGTCCTTCCAGCACCTTAGCACAGATCCCAGAGGCCATGAAGAGTTTTACGCCCTCAATATCCATTCTTAGCACCTCCCCAGGAAGCACCCCACATGCAGAGCTCTTGGAGATGGGCAGCCACAGGCAGCTTCCTGCACTACCCCTCCCACCACCCCAGGCACACTCTGCCCTCAACAGTCTCAACTCACCATGATCCAGAGGGGGGAAGGCACCTGGGACAGGATGTGGGAGTTGTCAGAGGTGACAGATGGGATCCCAGTGCACCACAGCAGGGAAAAGAGCCACGGCGCGTTGACAGTGTAGAGGTTCACACTCAGGTTCCAGGATGCATAGTCCCTAGGAGGGGACAGAGGCTGCTTGGCCTAGGCTCTGGCTCCCGGAAACCATCCCCTTCACCACCTCCTGCCACACTCATAGCCGTCCTTGGTGGAAGGGCTATCAGACAGCCCGCCAGGCTCAGAGAAACAGCTGCACCCCCACCTGCACCGCTCATCTTTGAATCGTGCTCAAGGCTAGTCCCCAGGGTGCTCTGCCTTCTGCCCATCTGTGCAGGGGTGACAGGAAACACCCCTCCATCCCCCAGCACTGAGCAGGCAGACACCTGAGCTCTTGGCCGGACACCTGAGTGTAGCGCAGATTCAGCCGCTGGATGTGGCCTCGCCGCAGGCTGGCCACTGCCTCCTTGGAGCCTGCTGTCTGCTGGAAGCCGGGAGCTACCTTCCGCACAAGGGGCCTCTGCCTATTAAGCAGCCACAGGACCTGCAGGTGGGATGGGCACAGGTGTGCATGTTAGGTTTCTGCAAAACTGAGGGAGGGAGGCATAGACAAAAGAGTCCTCACCCTTAGGCCGGCAAGATAGCTCGGGGGTCTAAAGCACCTGCTTGGTCAAGCTTACACAGGTGCAGGGGAACGTGGTTTGACCCCAGTCTCAATCCCCAGCACCACATGCTGTGCCAGCCCCACGCTTAGGGCAGGCTGGAGGGGGGGAGTCCTCACCCCTCCTAGGGCATGTGCAGAGTTAAAGGGGCACCTGGTCCCCAGTGAACATTGACTGCTCAGGTGGGACTGTTACCACAGGAAAACTTCTCAGCCGGAGCTGTGGCAACAATTCAGGAAGCTTCCCTTCCGGATAAGATGGGTGACCCAGACAACTATTACTCGTCATGTGACCACCAGCATCCATCGAGATGCGTGCTGGGTTCCTCTGGTCCCAAATCCTGCATGCACCACTGTGGTGTGGGCAGCACTCTGCTGAGGTAACTGGAAGCTCAGGACCCGCTCCTGCCCTGGAATGTCTGAAAGGCCTGTCTTGTTCCCAGCACCCCCCCCCACAACCCAATCGGGGAGGCGAGGGGCGTGCAATTCCCACCTCACATGTACAAGCGGAGGTCTGGGAGGCTCACCTGGTGCTGCGGGAAGCCGGAGTGCAGCAGCGTCTCCAGCGTGACATTCACGAAGCTGCTGCGGAAGGGATGGTCACGGGGTGGTTCGCGCAGGTTGAGCAGCAGTGTGGTGTTGCCCTTGACCAGCTCCAGCAGCTCATCCAGGCTGCAGATGGATTGGTTCTGGGCCTCCCTGTGGTCGGAGGGTGACAGGGAGCTGGCCGTCCAGAAGGGATCCGTCTGGTAGAGACAGGGACACGCACTGTGTCACCAGCCCTTTGGGGACTTCATGTGTCTTCCTGGTAACCAAGCGTGGAGGCCCTGGGCTGTCAGTGTCCACTGGTGTGTGTCAGATGAGTGGCTGTGGCTCTGTGGAGACCTGACCCTCGCCTCTCTACCCCGTACCTGCTTCCAGAGAGCCTGACCTCGTGGGAGCACCTCCCAGACCATGGCATAGTCCTCCACTGGCAGCAGGTCGGCCCAGACAAGCCCCTCCCTCTTGTCAGTCTCAGCTGCTGACTACTGCCTCTCCACCTGCCTTTCCTGATGAGGGAGACAGCCTCCGAACAATGGTGGCACACTGAAGTCTGAAGGCTGCAGTGGCAGAGCTCAAAGGAAGCCACTAAGCAGCCTGGCTGAAGCCCCCCTGCGCTGATGGGCCCCTCTCACTGAGTGAGGTCCCGGCCATGTTCTCCAGGCCTAGGTGCAGCCAGACCTTCAGGAACCACTGGCCCGCGTTGAGCCTCTGCAGGACGGTCCAGTTGAGCATGGAGGCGGGTCTGCGGGCGAGCTCCGGGAACACCTGCTCCACGTTGGTGGTTCGCCGCAGGGTAGCGTCGTGCATGAGGAAAGGCACACCATCCAGGCTGCGGGGAGAGCCACCATCACCACCCAGCCAGGGCTCGCATCTGCCCGCACACACTCCCACCCTGCCCCGAGCTCCTGGCTTCTCGCCCAAAGGGGGCTCTCTGTTGGGCCGGGTGGGGGTAGGGATGGCAAGACAGAGGGCTGGGAAAAGGCTGGGCCTCATCTTAGCCACCTTGGAAGCTAGACGCTGCCTCATTTGACAGTGGGGAAGCTGAGGCTAGCAAAGGGACATCTCTAGCCCCAGGTCCATGGCCAGTAAGTGGTAAATCTAGCTGGGAACCTTACTCACGAGATGCCATAGTGGAAACATGCTACCAGGGCTGCCGGTCACTACTCATGTGCTGCCTTAGTGTGAGGCGGTAAAAGACCTCATTCCTCAGGGCATCTGGCCACCACCCGCAGGAAATCACCACACGCACTGGGCACAGTGACCTTGTGTTGGGCCCTCAGTTTGTGCCCAGCCTGTGTAACTAACGATACCCTGGAAGCCCTGCTCCTCTCCCCTTCTCAGAAGTAATCTCTGATAACAGACTAGGGAGAGTTCTTCCTGCCATCCACACTAATTCATATTTATATATCTATAGATAGAAAATGTGTGTATTCCTTCAGTGTGGTCTTTTTAAGTGTAACTGGCACCACAGTGGTTATACGGCCTGCAGCCAGCTCATCTCACTTATCCACGTGGTTGTGCTCTGTCCTGCAGAGACACGTGGATCCCGTCTCCCTTCACGTGGCTCTGTGGTGAGACCCCAGCATGAACCAAGGAAAGTCTGGGCTTGCCTCTACTTTATATCTTAGAGCAGTGAGGGCGTATCTGTTTCAGGGACCAAATGCCCAAACCTCAACCCCAAACCCACTTATTCATCACTAAGTGCCAACACTGCAATTAAACCTGAACACTGAGGTTTTAGTTTAGAGAAAACAACTCGTACACTAAAGAAAAATACAATCACAGCCTACTGCAGTATGCATGCCATAGGTTCGTCACCACTGTCCTAGAGTGTGGCCAGGGACGCATTTGTGCAGAAGGGTGCCTGTCCTGCCATGGGTGACCCAAACCCTCCCTCTCCCACCTCCAAAGTTACGAATGGTGGATTCCACCCAGAGACCTGGGCACGGGAGTGGGGCATGGGAGGAGGTGCCGCCCTCCCTCCCCAATGCCTACCTGATGGTGATGTCAGCCTGGATCCCATACAGCTTCTGCTCGAGGGCCTTCCGGAAGGACATCAGTGTGTGCTCTGGAGCCAGCTGGGAGGCAGGGCCAGGAGTCAGTGGATGCAACCTCCCGGCCAGAGGAGACATGTTTCATACTGGGGGCCTAGGTAGGCTGCATGCTAATTCCAGCTCCTCCACCAAGTAGCTAGGCCTGGTACTCCACTCAGCTTCGCTGAACTTCAGTTTCCTCATCCACTACATCATGTCTACCTCGAAGGTTTTAGGGGGAGGGGCAGGCAGGGATGGTTAATGGGGCCGAATACAAACACCTGCCACAAAGCCAGCACTGGCAGATGCTCCGGTCATCACCTCACCCTTGGTGTACCTACCCAGGCTGAGCTAGACACTGGTGGCCGGGGTCTTTTGCACAGCTTGGTGGCTTCATGGAAGCCTGGGGCAGGGCTGAGTGACAAGTCCCTCCTGGTTAGACCCTGAGCTCAGTCCAGGAGGAGATGCTGAAGGGCTAGAGGGGAATGGGATGGAGTTTCATTGGAGGATGAGAGCCCTCATCTATACAAACAGGACAGTACTCTCCTCAGTGGAGGCCCAGGGCCTATACGGAAAGTACTTAGTAAGTGGCTCATGGATCAGAGGACCCTTCCCCACCTGCTCTTGGGGATGTGTGCTCACTGCTTTCTGAGGATCCGTTGGCAGGGAAAAGGGGATTGTACTACGCCCTGATTCTGAGGATATTGCTATGCCCGCAGCTGCCACTGGGGGCCAGCAACATACCAGAGATCAGTTAAGACCGGGCATCAAGGAGATAAAGGGCAGTGGGAGAGCTAGCCCTCCTGGCCCGTGAAAGGACGGGGTGGAAGGGGTCCAAAGGCTGATCCCACTCCCACCTTCTCTCCCTCTGGCCATGCTGTTCCCCAGTTCAGTACACCCCCTCCTATGGGAAGCAGCCAGGGGCCAGAAGAGAGCAGGGCTTTGGAGTGACTGAGGAGTGAGCCGCTTCCCCTGGGTCACCTGGCCTTAGTGTCTCTAGCTATGAAGTAGGCTCAGGTTATCCACTTCCTAGGTGAGAAAACAGGTGTCAGAGCCCCCAGGCCAGAGCCTGGCACACAGGAGGGAGCCCATATCATAGCCCCTTTCTCTTTTCCTGTAGCACAGCAGCCTGGCGGATGTGCCATCTATCCCCCAGGTCCAATTGGCAGTGTGAGACCCGTGTCCCCAGAGAAGGGGGACCATGGAGCACCTTCCCCATCTCCCTGATCAATGACTGCTAAGAGGGGCCATGTCCCTTCTCACGGGGGTGGCACCTGCAGAAGCCACCTGGAAGCATCAGAGAAGGGGCTACAAAGAGTCTGGGAGGAGGGGAAGTCTCTTTTCTGGAAGCTTCTTTACCCTGGTAAGGTTTACGTGGGTTACACATTGCTCTCTAGAGCTGTGGGAACCTGGCACTTCCTTGCCAGTTCCAGGGCTCCAGGCAGGTCCTCAGAACATGTAGTAGTTCTGGGATGAATTCTGTCCCGCAGGTCCCACCTGCCTCATTGTGCAAGGGCTGGGGTCTACTGTTTGTGGGGGTGTGCACAGGATTGTGGGTAGTGCTCAAGAGGACACCATGATTATGCGCCCCACTGTGGATCTAGTCCCACGAAATATGGGAGCATGCACATGAACCCACTCAGGGCCTGCGGACAGGCTGTCTCTCCAACCACCGGGGGAACCACATGCAGACACACAGAATGGACCAGACATGTATGTGTCCAGTGGGACATGGGGCAGGGCTGACTCTTCTAGAGCCACCACTAAATAGGTGCTCTTAGAGGATTAAAAAGTGGAACTGAGATTAACGGAGGCTGGGGTGGGCAGAGGCAGGAGAACATGAGAGGTTGGTGAATGGATCGAAAATTACAGATAACAGGCACAGTTCTGGCGTTCCATGGACACTGGGTGACCAAGGTAAACTACAGTTTACTGCATGTTTCAAAATAGCCAGAAGAAAGAAAAACCTTTTTTGGATGAGCCTGGTACTGGGGATTGAAGCAGCAGTCCTTCACACTGAGCTATACCTTCAGTCTTTTATTGAGACAGGATCTCACAAAGGTGCTAAGTTGTCCAGGCTGGGCTCAAACTTGCTACCTCCTACCTCAGTTTCTCAGAGAAGAGAGAATTTTAGATGTTTCCACTGTGATGAAATGATAAATGTCTGAAGTAATGCTAATTACTATGATTTGGTCATTATTTGTCGTATACACCTGTGGAAATACATTAGGGTCCATAAATGTGTGTCATGCCAGATGCACAATGTGAGAAAGCTTACAGGACAAATGACTCAGCTGAGTCAATAAACAGCAAAAAGGACAAAGGGGCAAGGGCCTGTTATGGACTAAAAGCTACCTAGGAGACACGAATGGGCCAGACACTTACGTAGACGTCATGTGGATCCTGATTCTTAACAACTCAACAAGAAGAAAACTGGACCTAGATTTGCTATTAGATAATGCTAAGATGTTATTAACCTGCGTGGGTATATATAACAGCATTGCGGTTATGTTTTGAGAAAAACACCTTTATGGCTAGTGATACAGCCTGAAGCGGGTATGGACGAAATGATAAATAATCTAGAGTTTGCATTTCTACATCAGAAAAAAAAAAATGTAGGGGACCAATGGAGCAAGAATTGCAAACTGTCATTACATGCTGAGGATACACTGTACTCTTTATAGAGTGCTTCACTGTATAAGATGCTGAATTATTCTTCTCACTCCTGTGTATGTTTGAAATTTTTCTATTAAAGCCAAGAATCCTTGCTAGGGTCAATCCTTCTCCTTTTTGCCCTCCCTCCTGCTTTGGCACCATTTTTGTCCCCTGGCCTTCAGAGCCAGTGAGACAGGTTGCCCACTGCCCACTGCCCACTGCCTAACTGGGAAGCCCTTCTCCTCAGTTCTCAGAGTAGCTAACAACATAGGTCTCCCTAAAACTCAGGCTCAGAGGAGGCTGGTGATGCCCCAGGACATGTAGGCATC